CCCCCTCCATAGGGCCTGGGGTGTTAAGTCAGTTTCTCTCACTCTCTCCTCTTAAAGGATTCAGAACTTAAGCTCTTGGTTGGGGTGATTCATTCCTAGGGATGCCCTGTGAAAGGATCCTCTTCCTCCAGATTGTATTTTGCTTAACTCATGGGTTCCAAATTTCAACTCCCCTGTGGCCAGCCTCTTAAAAGACTTGCACAAGCTGGGCCTGATGGGGAGATAAAGCAGAAGCGATTAATCTACCTCTGCACTAATTTGGCATATTTTGGTCTCAGAATTCTCTAATAACTTTACAGAGAGAAATGGCAGATGGTCAGAAGTCTTCCACATCCCAGGCTTTGTCCTCCTCTAAGGTCAAATTTCCTCATTGCAAGCCCTCAGGCAGGAGAAAGGATTGGAGCCTCCTCTTGAACCCTCAACTTTCCCTTCTTCCACTCTTGCTCTTCCCTCAGGGGTGCCGCTGCCTCGGGAACAAGCCCCCGGTCTGGCTCTGAAACTGCCTCTGTCCTCTTCCTGACCCCTCCCCCTCCTCTGTCCCACCACTCTCCTCCTGGGGCGGAAAGGTAGTGTACAGGCTATCAGAATGTTTATTGCTCTGGAAGGTCAGCTCCTGGGACATTTCAAACTACTAAGACAAATGCACTGTGAAGTTCACCCTGAAGCCCCTCTCACATCTTCCTGCCCACCTTATCAGGGTCCACGCAGTGCTCTGCACCTCCCCCAACAAGCAGCTCCAGAAAGCACTCTGCCTGCTGTTCAAATGCAATGAAGCCTGACTTCAACATCCCCACCCGACCCCTGCCCTGTGAATAGGAGGGCCTACTCTCCTATTAATAAGCCCCAGAGGGTTCTTGCCTAATATTTAGAGAAGACTTCTAAATACCGGCATTAATAAATGAGGCAGCATGGTACATTTTAGGCTTTTATTTAGTGTGAAAGATACGTAGGAGAGTGAGAGCTTTATTTAAGGGAGGTAAATCTGGGTTCATACTGAGCACCAGGAGCCAGCCACTTGGAGGAGCATCTAGGCCTGGAAGCCTAAGGCCACAGGCCCTGGAGGAGGCACAGGGCTACAGCAAGCCCCCTCCTGGCAAGAGGCCAGGGAAGAAGAGAGGGTCCCAGGCTTTTAACCCAGTTCCAAAAGGGAGTGGTTAATTAATCTGATTGGCTGGTGGGCACCCAGGTGCAGCCAGGTAGGGGCATGAGGTCGCACAGGGGCGTGATGAAGGTATCAGGGCGTGAGGTCACACAGGGGCGTGGCAAAGGCGTGGTCTTCCAACTCACAAACCTAATGGATTTTAAACTGTATGCCTGCCTACTTCACTAAGAATGCCACATGCCTAGCCTTCTCTCTTATCCCCTGCCGTTTCTAGTGGCAGCCAAAATCTCTTTGCTTATAACTGAAATTGTTTTGTTGTTTTCTCCTGTAATATATTATATGTGCATACATGTTGTAGGTCTACATGGGAAAATTTATTAACAGCTCTGTTTTAATTGGCTTACACTTGTGTTAGACATTCAACAAATATTTCCAACTACATGCATTCTTAAAACTTACAGAAGGCATTGGACCTTTTGGTAAATGTTTTTGTAGGTTACTTGATAGTTAAAATTGTTTACTAAGTTTTCTCTTGATAATGAGCAATCTGGGAAGCCTTATTTCTCTATTCTCTTCAAGATGGAAAACTCATTCTGTTCTGAAGAACTCTCCATCAGGACGTACAGTTTGACCTTTAGACCTTATATAAGACAGTTTGGATAAGGTGGTCATAATGTTTGATCTTACATAGAAGGGCATAGCTTTCCGCATGGGCATCATCTTATCTCACATGAAGAAGATTGTCATGCCTGTGACCACAGATTTCTAGCTCAGGCCCCCACGATTAGGGGCGGAATTGAGCGGCCCTTTGGCTGACTCAAGGCTTCCTCTGTATTCTACTTTAACAGAGACCAGGAGAAAGGGGAGTGAGGCAGCAGGAGCAATGTAGGGATAGGAGGCAGGCCAATTATGGCTGCTTTACAGGATGATCTGCCACCACGGAGACCCAACAAGGCCAGTCCACCCCCAAATGGCATCTGCTTTTGATATAAGGAGCTGGGGCATTGGCCAAGCAGCTGTCAGCTCTGTCAGCACTGCCAAGAGCCAGGCCAATGGAAACGGAACTGCTCTAGGGGTTAAGGCCTACTGAGTCAGAACTGCAGACCCTGTCGGCCCCAAGCTGAAAAAGCCCTCCGCTCTGCCCAGCTTCCAAAGTCCCCACCATCACCAGGGGGACAGCCAGGGTCACTAACAATCCGTGCAGGGCTGCGGACTTGCTTCTAGAGATGCCACCTGTTTGATACTGACATCCTATTCAGGCCAGCCTTCCTTCCAAGCCAGTTAGGTAATAGAAGTCAACAGGGTGTCTTTCCTGAGGGGGTTCACACCTTCCTTATGTCTCATCTAGTACTACATGTAAAGAGATAGATAGGTCTGGACCTCATATCTACCTGGCCAGGCCTTAACATCCATGTGATTGTTATCAAACACCTCCTGTCAGTTTCTGTTTGCCTGTCAATGGAAAAACAACACCCTCCTGGTTTGAACAGCACCTTTCTTAGGTTCTCTAACAACTCTTTCCTTAGTTTTGGAAACAAAACAGGAGCATTCTTTCCTTATGGCAACCAGGCATACATCTGTCTCTCTGCTAACTGGACAGGATTCTTTTTTTTTTTTTCCTACTTTTCCCTCTGTCCTCCTCATTTTGGCCATTTTTTTCCATCATGGGCAATGTCTCTAATATCTCCTTTTATCCTTGTAATCATAGTGCTCCTATTTCTGCCATGTATAATTAACTTATTCCAAAAGTTCTTGCAGGAATGAATGACTGCTATATCCCAAGCCATCATGCAGGAACAACACAACACTGCTCTTCAATCAATCCAATCCAGAGTATAGATACCCCGCCCCTCATCAGTGCCCCATATCAGATAGAATTAAAAAAGAGAGAATGTTCCAACATGGGAAGCAGTCCACACACAGACCCATAGAATGACAGTCGCTTTAAGTAACACTCTGACCTCAGAATCAGCTCTTAAGTCTTCCTGGTCTGGCTGAAAAGCCGTTAAGAACATTTTAGGCATGGAAAGCTAGGACACTGTGGCAAAAAATGTTCTTCATGAAGGATCTCTCTAAGTGGGACTCCAGTGGAAAGAAGTGGCCATGAAAGAAGGATGTACTTCTCTCTAAAGGAAAGAACTTCCACTTTGCTTATGGTGTTGTCCAAATACTGACAGAGTTTGTGGACTTAAAGGGCTTCCATAGCCTAGGCAGCTCAAGTCAAGAGCCTCAGGTGGTCACTGATGTCATACATAAGAGTGTTAATTGTTAAATTAACAACAGGAGTCACTGTGCACTAACTCCCCATGCAAGACCTCTGTCCTCAATGAGTTATGAGAGTTAATTGTAAAACTAGTTCTCAGATTGTTTTTGAGTGTGTGCATGTTTGTGCAAATAGTTGAAATCTTTACCTAGCATAGAGTTGGTCTTCTGTGTACAAAGTTAATTGAAAATGAATCTTAATGGAGAATGGGACTGGGAAGGGGAGAGGGAAGAGGAGGACAGGTGGGAGTGTGGGTGGAAGGGCGGGTTTGGTGGGAAGAATAACTATATTCCTAAAGTTGTACTTATGAAATTTGTATTTCTTAAAAATTTTTAAAAAAAGAAACCAGCACCCCATCTCTTTATCTATACTGAGAGTCAGGACTGATGGAACAAGGACATAAACCTCAGCCATTTTAGGTTCTTGTAACCCTTGCCTTCTTTCAAAAGACCAGTTCCGTCTCACACCCTGTATTGTTCTCCACCACAGCCCCTGCATTCTTCCTCATGTTTGGAAAACTGGGCCAAACTTGAGGAGCCAGGATGGAGAAGCTCATCTCTGCCTACTGCTCCCCACCCCCACCCCAGCCCACCTAAGATATAAAAAGGCCCCCAGCCTGCTGGGGCCTGGGCCTTTGACAAATGCATGGTCTGTGAGCATGATGGCAGCTGGTTGACCTCTGTGAGTTTATTTTCTTTGAAAAAATTTGGTCTGGCTGTGGGGAAAAAAAAAGTAGAATCTACCCCTCTAGTGCTTGGCACCATGTAGACACTTCATAAAAGCTCACTAGTCAGTTGATTATGGGTACCCATTTGGCAGATTTGAACAGTTCTGGCTCTGTAAGTTATTTATTCCCTTCAGTGGAAAATAGTCATTTACATATTTAGTTTGGTGAATTAATTTTTCTTTATCCCCTACCTGCTTCCATAAAGGATTCAAAACAGCACACAGCTCATTTGGTGAGATTTTGAATTGTTCTACATATACTTAAATAGAATGATTTTTAGAACCATCTTAGAAGAAGTATATTCAACCAAAAAAAAAAAATAGATGTCAATGATTTTTTTTCCTTTGGAACTTCTAGCCCTCACCAATGAAATAACTGATCTTTCCTAATGTTAAATTTGTTAAAACAAATCATGGCTTCTTGGAAAGTGTGTGTTTTATTCTTTACTCTTTTCAGCTGTGAACCCTTTGTTGCATAAAAGCTCTGAAAGTGTCAGTCAGAACCAGAAAAGAATAAAGTGTATTTCATATATTGGGTTTGGGAAATCTGATTGTTTCTCTTGGAACAGATTGTTCATTATAACAGTATCTATAATAAATGGAGTGCACTGCCGAGTTAGATGAAAATGAAATTAATTTGGCTCAGATGTGATCTTTGTTTTGCTTATGAGGATTTGAAACATCCTTACAGAGTTTCAAATTTCCATGCAATTTAGAAATAAAAGAGATTTCAAAATGTGTCTGTCTCCCTTGCCAGTGGCCGTCATTCCCTTACTATGGTATGTTGAACAGAACAGCAAATATAAATAACTCTAAAGGAAATCAGCATGTGATAGGACTTTATTGAAACATTTGCTGAAGATATAACATATCATAAGTAAAAATAAGTTAACGTGCTTTTGGTTGCAGGTTGCCTATCAGGTTGGTAACTACGACTTGGCTAAGAGAGTTTTCTCACCAGTTTGGGATTTCTTTGTTGCTTCCCCGCCTCAGGATGAACAGTCCGTTGTTTGCTTAAGCAGTATAATGACTGTTAACCAGAGAAGGTAATTAGAACTATTATCTTAAAATATTAATTTGCTTGCTCAGAATATTGAGGTTGGATGTGAAGCCTAGAATGTTTTTACTTTTCATGTTAAGGCAGTCTATGTAAGATTGTTTCTAGTGAGAACTGTAATAAGGGTATATATTCAAAGATCTTGGGTTCTTGTTAGAAGCCTCTATGCTAGAATATAAGAAAAGTGGTTATGCATATGGATGAAGGTTTTGGACTGAAAGTGCTAAATTATAATTAAAAGTAATATTAGTTGTGCCAGAAAACACAAATGTGCACAGAGGACTTTTGTGGTAGAGGAAGCTCAGGTTGAGATTAAAGTTAGGGTCTGATGGGTAGACCGTTAGAATAGGAAGGGTTTTCCTTTTCTGGAAGAGGCTTGCAGAGTTGGGTCATCAGCAACTGCAAACAGACTGAAAAGCCATTGTAAGCCATAGGCCATCTTTTGCCTCAACAGTCATTTTCCCTTGAAGGGACAGAGTTTAAGAACATCCCCAGAAATGAGCACTCAGGCTGTCTCAACAAGTTCGGAAACAAGAATCTCCCTCACTTGTTTGTTAATGCTTGAATTCCTTTAATAGGAAGCAAAACTCTTCATTCCTCAAAGACAGTGTGCTTAAAAATGCAAATGTTGGTGGAAGCAAGGCATTGATAAGGCTTATTTATATTATGTTCGCTTAATTACACATTAAAAGTATAATTCCATTCGATTAAACAAGTATAGATGATATTTTCCATGTACAAGGATGCTAGGTGCTATGGGAGAAGGATTTGAAATGTACTTTGGAAGGAGATGAGTTAGATTTTATATAACTGTGAGGATAAAAGAGAAGGGGTGGTCAGGCATTGTGGCACAGTGAGCTAAGCTGCCATGTACAATACTGGCATCCCATCCTGGAGTGCCAGTTTGAGCCCCGCTGCCCTGCTTCCAATCCAGCTCCCTGCTGATGAACTTGGGAAAGCAGTGGAGGATGGCCCAAGTACTTGGTCTTCTGCCACTCAGGTGGGAGCTTTGGACCAGCTCCAGCCATGAAGGCCATTTGAGGAGTGAACCGCAGATGGAAGAGATCTCTCTCTCTCTCTGCCTTTCAAATAAGTAAAATCTTAAATAAAGAAGTGAAAGATGATTGAGATTTTTAATGTTAACTGATTGAGAAGTCCTTTGCATTTACAAGGAGATATGAGAGATTGAACAAATTTTTGAGGAATATAATTTGATTGGAGACATTTTGAGCTTGGTTTTCCAGGTTTGCTTTTCCAGAGAAGATGGACCTGAAGCTTAGGAGGGAGTTTGTCACCAACTAAGATTAAGGGCAGGAAAGGCAATACTGGAAAAAATGAAAGAAGATTGAAGGTTTCATAGCTTTGCCAATGTCTGGCTCTGTTGATTGCAGTTTAGAAAAGATAATCAGGGGCTGGTGCCGTGGCTTAGTTGGTCAATCCTCCGCCTGCAGCACCGGCATCACATATGAGTGCCGGGTTCTAGTCCTGATTGCTCCTCTTCTAGTCCAGCTCTCTGCTGTGGCCCAGGAGGGCAGTGGAGGATGGCCCAGGTGCTTGGGCCCTGCACCCGCATGGGAGACCAGGAGGAAGCACCTGGCTCCTGGCTTCAGATTGGCGCAGCTTCGGCTGTAGTGGCCTTTGGGGGGTGTACCAACGGAAGGAAGACCTTTCTCTGTCTCTCTCTCACCATCTAACTCTATCTGTCAAAAAAACAAACAAACAAACAAAAAAAAAAACGATAATTAGAAATAATCCAGGAATTATCAAGTCAGTTAGTCTTTCCCTCTCTTGTTCTCTCTCCCTCGTTTTTTCTCTCTTTCCTTGTCTGAATTTGCTACAAATGACCCTCATTTTCAGAAATTTCATTAATTGAAATATTAGGGCTATTTCCCAACCTTTTGAACATCTACAGTTATTTCATTATATTGAAACAAAAGATCTTTATATATGAGAACTTTGCCATGAGTTATTTTTATATATCCACGACATAATATTTCAGTAGTTTAATTTTCTTAGTTATGAACTTTGTTAAGGATAGTCCTTAAACAGCTGTACAAGCATAGCTGCTCCACACATTTATTTTTTTTGACATCTTGGATCATTGCAGTTACTGAGCATAATCAATCTAAAAGACAAGTTTACATGCTAAATCATTTTGTATTTCTATCTGTGACATCATTTATTTCTTTCTTCAGGTTGCATTCAGGTGTTTTGGCGGAAAATTCTTCAATTCTCTTGTACCTTTTTCTGAGAAATATTTTTGTGACAAGTGACATTAAAATTAAAGAAGAAAATATTTTCTGTGATAATATTAAAGGCAATGAGATTTTCCCTTCTCAACAAGTAAGTGAATTAAAGTGACTAAAAACATGTCAGTTTTACTATATTTGCTTCTTGATGTTTCAAGGTCATGTTCTTTTGGGATTGCTTATCCTGTCTATACATGGACTGAGAGGCCATTATATGACTATACTGCTTTATTTGAAATTCTATAAAAGTTTCACAGGCTGAAGTTATTCTTTTTTTCTCTTCTTTCCAATTTATTTTTTTCTCCCTGTTTACAAGTCACATATATTTCAGACATCCAAACCTGTATGATGTCAAAAGCAAAATCCTTTGTAATACTTTACCTCTAAGAGTACTACAAATTCATTTTCATATGATTTTTCTAATTAAAAAATACATAGACAAATATGCTATTATTATTATTATTGTCTAAAATGAGGCCACAGTCAACTTGCTTTACAGCTTGCCTTTTTAATACACTTTATAATATATGGAAATATTTTCACACTGTATACATTAATCTTTTACATTATTTTTCATTACAATATTGCATTCCTGTTTAGAGGCAATTTTTTTTTTAATTTATTTGACAGATAGAGTTAGACATTCAGTGAGAGACAGAGAGAAAGGTCTTCCTTCTGTTGGTTCACCCCCCAAATGGCTGCCATGGCCGGGGCTACGCCGATCCAAAGCCAGGAGCCAGGTGCTTCTTCCTGGTCTCCCATGCGGGTGCAGGGCCCAAGCACCTGGGCCATCCTCCACTGCCCTCCTGGGCCACAGCAGAGAGTTGGACTGGAAGAGGAGAAACCGGGACTAGAACCAGGCGCTCATATGGGATGCCAGTGCCGCAGGTGGAGGATTAACCAAGTGAGCCACGGCGCCGGCCCCTGGAGGCAGTAATTTAACCTATCTACTACTGATGGTTTCTCAGGGTCCTTTCTATGTATTTCTGCAATTCCATAATACTCTTATTTTTTAAAAAAGATTTATTTATATATTTGAAAGGTAGAGTGACATTGAGAGATCTCCTATTTGCTGGTTCACTCTCCAAAAGGCCACAATGGCTGGGGCTGTTTCAGGCTGGAGCCAGAAGCCTTGACCTCAGTACATGTCTCTCATGTGCGTGGCATAGGCCAAAACACTTGAATTATTATCTGCCACTTTCTCAGGCTCATTAGCAGGGAGCTGGATCTGAAGTGGAGCAACCAGGACTCAAATCGTTGTTCTGATATGGGATGCCTGCGTTGTAGGCTACATCTTAGCTCACTGCACCAGAATGCCTGCTCCCTTCCCCATATACTTATGTTAGTAATGATCCTACATTATTCTTTTATTTCAGTTTGAAATTTGCTTTCCTTTATTCTCTTTGCTTTTTTATGCACCCTAGATATGGAGGCTTTACCCATCCTTTTATTTTATAGTTGCATTTTTCTAGCCATCTGTTAATTAACTAGTTAATTAACTGGTAAATTGTTATATGAGATCATGCCAGTTTGGGGAAAAATAGAAGAGAGAAACAAATGACCCTTGGCACAAGACAAATCCATCGTCATAGCAAACACAAACGCACACAACTGTCAGCCTTTTCTGTCATGCTGCATCCAGTTTCTTCTTTTCCAGTCTGAAAATAAAAATAACTTTCAAGTACTCTAAGGAATTCCAGAATTCTAGACTACTATTCATTTTTAAAAAATTAGTTAATTTATTTGAGAGATAATCTGAGATGGACAGAATATCTGATTGTCTGAGCCACAGAGACCTTCCCTCTGCTGGTTCACTCCCTATATGACCATAATTGTCTGAGGCTGGGGCAGGTGGAAGCCAGGAGTCAGGAGCCAGACTGGAACATAAGCACACCCAACATGGGATATTTTGTCCCAGTCATCTTTTTTTTTTTGACAGATAGAGTTAGACAGTGAGAGAGAGATAGAGAGAAAGGTCTTCCTTCTGTTGGTTCACCCCCCAAATGGCTGCCATGGCTGGAGCTATGCTGATCCAAAGCCAGTAGCCAGGTGCTTCCTCCTGGTCTCCTATGTGGGTGCAGGGGTCCAAGCACCTGGGCCATCCTCCACTGCCTTCCTGGGCCACAGCAGAGAGCTGGACTGGAAGAGGAGTGACTGGGATTTTTTCTAAAATTAAAATGTAGCCAAGATTTTACCTTACCAATAAAAAAAGATTAGTTCCTCTTTTGTTATTAGTATACTTGTATTATTTTACAAAAAAGTCTGAAGTTTAGTTAGAGTTGTTTCTGAATTTAGATTTTCTTCAGACTAACATTCATGTTGTTCTGAAGCCACAAGGATATATTTCCTACTCTTTTTTTGTCCTTAAAAATGAGTAAATTAGCAGCGGGGGTCCAATTTGAGTAACAATTCATGTCTTTACAGATGGCTAGAGTGATTGAATGTGAGAGAATATTAGTGGCCTTGGAAATTAGCACCTTCCTAAATGATTCCAGTTACACCCTTCAATCTGTGACTCAATGTTATGGCCTCCTTGCTCCTATAATCTATCACAATATTGTGTTGGTACCTGTTGTACAGGTAAGGATAATCCCCATGGTTCCATGAAGATTTTTTTTTGAGCAAAGATAACTCAAAGATTCCTTTTGGAAAAGAAAAGCAATGTATCTTTTGTAAAGTATAAGTAGGTCAAGAATAAGCATTATGAAATTTTAAGAATTAACTGAAAAATATTTAAAAATTATGTCTAGGCAAACGTAAGTAAGGATATAAAATATGCTTCTTTGACCATATTCAGCCCTGTTGCTGTCCATTCTTAAATACTGACAATATACTTTTCTGGGTTTTTAAGGTTAATTCAATTTTATGTTCATAGAATGTTAGAAATTATAGTATATATTCAAAGTATTTTGTTAAAGCTGTCAAAAGGGGAAAAATATCAATGACCCAAGAAAAAATATTTGATGTCTTGGTACTGGAGGAATTACAGTTCATGAAAAAATGGTAGGTAAGACCTGGCTGAGGGATTATATTAGTTATCTAATATGCTTCCTAACAAATTGCTGTAAATTTAGTGACTTCAAAAAAATACCTATTCACTGTCTCATGGTTTCTATGGGTCTTGGATTTAGGATCTTATCAGACAGAAATCTGAGTGTTGGTCAGGGCTGTGATTTCATCTGAGTCTTGAGGTCCTTTTCCAAACTCACTGGCTGAGGTGGTATTTCCATTTACTGGGAAATAAATGGTGAAACACCTAGATATTTGTCTGAAAAAAAGTAGTTTGATCCCTATTCGTGCATATCCAAAAAGTTCAGTTGCATTAAGGACTTACATGTAAATATTTAGGACTTAAACATAAAATAAAACAAAATATTTTAGGAAAAAAAATGCCAAGAGGATTTGGGATTTGGAAGAAGCAGAACTCGTTCAGAACAAGAAACCTCTATGGGACAAAAGGGACCATAACAAAGATAATAGAGAGCTTATGGGTTTGGATTTCTCCAAAGCCAACAAAGAGTGTGTGTGTGTGTGTGTGTGTGTGTAATATATATAACATATATATCTTATATACAATATATAACTCTCTCTCTATATATATATAAAACACAAAAGCCTTGCAGATTGATAAGCCCTCATAGAAGACCAAATCTAAGTGACCTAGAGACATAAAAAAATGCACAGACTTGGAATAGTCATAAAAGTGACAAGATAATATCTACAACTCCCATTGCTGGTGAAAATGTAAGACAAAGGCATTGTCCTACATTGATGGGAGAAATGTGAATTCTTAAATGCTTTTGGATTTTGTTAAAGCAATCTTAATTTTAATTAAAGTAAATCTAATTTTAAATAGTATTAAAAACAAATATATCTGACAATAATCAATCTCCTAATAATTTATCCCACAGAATAAGATTTTAATCAAATTAAAAATACATTTACCTGTCATAGCAATCTTTTATTAGTAATTTATCCAAAAGAACAAAATCACCAGTTAGCAAAATGCTATTTCTTTTTCTGCTCCTTGGTTTTTGGATCTTTGTGTTCCACCTGCTGGGGACACAAAGCCATATAATGCTTACTGATTTAAAGAGCATACTGGGTCCTGGAGGACAGTGCCTCACTTTTACTGGTTGTCATCTTAAAGCTGTTTGCCTCAGTGTTTACCCTGGTTTTCTTGATGGTTTCAAATAAGCTGGAGATAAAGAGATGAAATAGTACTGCCAGAAAATAAAACAAGTGTAAAACTGTGAATTAAGATGTACTAGAAATGGTTGAATGAATTATGATTGAGCCATACAAAATAATATTATGCAGCCATTAGAAGTAATGAATCAGGGCCCCGGTGCCGTGGCTCACTAGGCTAATCCTCCGCCTGCGGTGCCGGCATCCCATATGGGTGCCGGATTCTGTCCCGGTTGCTCCTCTTCCAGTCCAGCTCTCTGCTGTGGCCCGGGAGTACAGTGGAGGATGGCCCAAGTGCTTGGGCCCTGCACCCCATGGGAGACCAGGAGAAGCACCTGGCTCCTGGCTTTGGATCAGCATGGCGTGGCGGCGGCTCGCTGGCCATAGCAGCCATATAGGGGGTGAACCAACGGAAGGAAGACCTTTGTCTCTGTCTCTCTCTCACAGTCTAACTCTATCTGTCAAAAAAAAAAAAAAAAAAAAAAAAAAAAAAAGAAGTAATGAATCAGAACTATGCCTGTAGACTTGGGGGGAATTTTCACAAGACAGTTGAAGGGGAAAAGCAAAGTTCAGAAAAGTGTGTATAAATCCCATTTTATAAAATAGTGATATTCCTTTTGTCTTAGACTTGTGTATTTATATATATGTATATGATAATATGAGCTTTAAGAAAATAACTAGGCTGTTAACATGATTTGGGATAGTGGAAGTTGATCTTTAAAAAGTTTTAAAAAATATTTATCTGAGTACTGTAATAGTGGTAATGTTAGAATGGTAGCTTGAAGCAATTAACATGCCTCAAAAGAACTAACATGCAAATATTAATTTTTCCTTTGGGATAATATGAATGGTGAATAGATTGCTACAATTTGAACTGTATTTTTTCTGACAGTAATATTGCTCAGAACCATGCAACAGTACTGAAAACTAAACTTAATTTTCTAACTCTTGATCAAATTTAGAGTCATATGGTCGGAAGCAAGGAAAGTAGAAAATAATCACCAATATTTGTTTATTTCATGTGATATAAATATTTGGTTTAATTAATGAACTTTTCATTTATTTGGAAGGTGGAGAGAGACAAATAGACAGACAGACAGAAAGAGAGGTTTTCTACCCTCTGATTCACTACCCAACTGCCTGCAACAACTGTGGCTGGGCTAGGCTGAAGCCAGGATCCTGGAACTCAATCTGAGTCTACCAAGTGGGTGGCAGGCACCCAAGTATTTGAACTACTGTCAGGGTGAACCCTGTCGGGGTGCACATTAGCAGGAAGCTGGATCAGAAGCAGAGGAAAGCAAACTCAAACCACATGCTTCAGTATAGGATACAAGTGTTCCAAGTGGTGTCTTAACTGCTTTGTCCAGTGCCTGCCTGTCATTTTATTTTTTAAGATTTTATTTATTTATTCAAAAGGTAGAATTCTAGACAGAGAGAGGGAAGGAGAGACAGAGAGAAAGGTCTTCCATCTGCTGGTTCACTCCCAAAATGGCCACAACAGCTGGAGCTGGGACCATCCAAAGCCAGGAGCCTGGAGCTTCATCTAGGTCTCCCACATGGGTGCAGGAGTCCAAACACTTGGGCCATATTCTACTGCTTTCCCAGGCCATAGCAGCGAGCTGGATTGGAAGAGGAGTGGCTTGGACACAAACCAGCACACATATGGCATGCAGATGCCACAGGCTAAGGCTTAGCCTACTATGCCACAGCACTGGCCCCTGTCATTTTATTTTTATGGGAAACTATTATTTAAAGTATGAGAGTCACTATATAATATTTAATATACCACATAATCCTTCATATAGTTTTTCAGGGACCGCTTAAGCCTGGATGTGATAGTTTCTTGTATACATGGAACTCTCTACCTGTATCTTTTATGATATTGTCAAAAATGTTCTTTCTTTTGTAGTTCTTTACATACATGTTTAATATATTTCTTTTATCCTATTCAATAATTTTTAAATTTCTTTAAGTGAAAGATACATCTGAAAATTGAATATATCAATTTTATCCCAGGATACATTGTTTATATATAATAAGCAATTTATCAATAATTATTGATAACAAAAAATTTTATGGTTAACACATCATTTGACTAAAACAAAAATAATTTTAAAACAAAAATCATTGTGCTTCTGTTTTTTAGATCTTGATAAAGTGTATGTTGGTTTTGCAAGGACTACCAAATATTGGTCACTCGAAGAAACATCTTTTGAGTTTTGAAAGTGTACAGCACATGATAGCTTGTTGTATCTTCTATATAACAAAGGTATTTATCTCATTCTTTGCTTAATGTCATGAAATTTAGAAACAATATTGATTTAGAAAGCAAGACTAGTTTTAGCCACCATAATTAGAACACATTTAAAAATAGCACCCCAAAAGCATATTTAGAACAAAAACAAATGTAAAACTGGAACACTGCAGAATAATAATCCATTTTTGGACTTTTTGATGAAATTGTAGTGCTTCACAAAACTAACACTTAATGTTAGTGAGACACCATTTGTATGTTTTATAGATATTTTGTATGGTCATGCATATTAGTTACAAAAATCTAAAGCATTAGTTACATATTTATTATACTGGGGCCAGCCTGTGTGTCATCACATCAGGTTGTGATCTTACTGGACTCTGCAGGCAGACCTGCCAGAAGTATCTTCCTAGGAGTTGAGTTCGAGTAGTGAGGCTTAGAAGTTATGACCAAACAGCTGAGTTATGATTTAAGAGTCTGTCTCCCAAAGAGAAGTGTGATAATATCATGAAATCAGAATATTAAAAATGGTATTAGATCTCAGGGAAAGGGCAGAGTAGGCAGAGTCTAAGGCTGATTCTGACATCGCTGTGTAGGTTCCTGAATTCAACGGAGGACAAACTATAGAGATAAGTTCAGACTGTACCCATCAAAAGTGATGTATCTAGCAGAAGAAGGCAAATGTGTGGTCAGGCCGGAGCCGCGGCTCAATAGGCTAATCCTCCGCCTGCGGTGCCGGCACACCGGGTTCTAGTCCCGGTCGGGGCGCCGGATTCTGTCCCGGTTGCCCCTCTTCCAGTCCAGCTCTCTGCTGTGGCCCGGGAGTGCAGTGGAGGATGGCCCAAGTGCTTGGGCCCTGCACCCCATGGGAGACCAGGAGAAGCACCTGGTTCCTGCCATCGGATCAGCGCGGTGCGCTGGCCGCAGCGCACCAGCTGCAGCGGCCACTGGGGGGTGAACCAACGGAAGGAAGACCTTTCTCTCTGTCTCTCTCTCTCTCACTGTCTAACTCTGCCTGTCCAAAAAAAAAAAAAAAAAAAAAAAAAAAAAGTGTGCTCAGAATATAAACTGGATTTTCTTTTTTATTTCACTCCTTCATTCAACAAATATTTATTGAATACCTTTCTGGATTAGGTACCATGTTGGGCACTTGATAAATAATTAGAAAGAAGCTCATAATAGCTGTTGGAGAAGAAGAATGAGTCATAGATGACATCCAGATTTCTAGCTTGGGTGATGAATGGGTGGTACTGATGTAGGCAGGGATGCATAAAGATCACTGAGGGTGGAAAATCTGGGAAACCGTCTCCTTGAAGAAGAGTCTTAGCTATGTTCTGAGCAAGAGTTGAAAACTCAAATACCTGCTGAGAACAAACAGGTAAAATAATTTGTGAATTGATTGAATGTGAGACAAAGTTTGTTGCATCCTGAACCAAACTGGAGAGTCGATACCCTGTCTATGGGCATTAAAGTTCATTAAACAATGAGAACAACAAGAGCAACTGCAGCAGCACAACACTGTCTCATAGAACTCACGGTTTAGTGGAGGATATAAAGCAAACACACATATAAAGTATAAGTCCATGAAGTTTGAAGCAAAAAGAAAGCAGTTAATCAAGAGAGATTCTTGGGACTTGGCCTATTTTGGATGGGATAACCTTGCATGAAAGGAGGAATAGATCTAAGATGGAGTAGGAGCAGCTTTGTAAGCAGAAGGCATAAGGATTATGTGAGCAAATGTTCTTAGTAGAGATACATGGCTGAACACCACAGAGTGGTGAAATTTACTTCTCACTGTTCTGGGTCCACAGAGTTTGATGTCTGAGTGCCAGCATCTAGTGAGGGTTCCCTTGCTGCCTTCCTAACAAGGCAGAGGGCGTAAACTGCTGAGAGTGAGGGAATGTGTAAGCTCTTATCTCTTCTCTTTTTAGAAACCAACTAATACCATCGTGAGGGACCTGGCCTCATGACTTTATCCAATCCTCATTACCTCGAGAAGGCTGTACCTCCAAATAACATCAACCTATGAATTTGGAGATTCCAACACATGAACTTTAGGGAACACATGTAAAATATAGCAATGGCTATCAGCTACATTGCCTTGTCTAAATGGCGTAGGCTATTCACATAGTACAAGGGATTCCCAACCTGTTGATTTGAGAGTTCTTGTAGGAGGTCTATTTATCCATAGTTATACCTAGCAATGTTTGTAAATGGAATCAGTATATTTCTATATGTGTTTTTGCTTTTTCTGCAAATATGTATGAAAACAATTGAAGCAGCTAACTGAACATATTTTAGTTTATATTTGAGAAGAATTATTAGAAAAATATTTTGTGGATCAAGGCTTTCCGGAAGACTGTTTTACTCAATTTAAGGTAAAAAAGGGAAAAGAATTCTGAGTAGATAGCAGCTTCAGTACACATCTCTGACTTCTTGCAAATTCCTATTTCAGAGTGTTATAGTGGACTGTGCAGTCCAGTTGATAAAGCCTGGAATGATATCTTAGGCCAATGTACCTGAAGAAATGGCCATATATGGGACCTCATTCATCTTAGAAACCATAAAGAACCAAGAGATCAGAAGCGCAGAAGTAGACTCAGTGATCCTTATTGCATGACTCAAAGGCCAATGTTGTGTGTTTCCTCAAAGGGTTTAGTTGACACAATCCAGTGAATCTCATAATGGAGGGCTGCATCTGTTTGCTGTATCATGTAGTTCTCACCAGGCTCTTTTGCCTTGGCCAGGAGTCTGGAAGGCTACTGCATACCTGATTTGATCCATCTCTTGAGTTAGGATATAAGCTTGCTTTCATGAAGGTCTGGTAATGGAGAGGTTTCTCCCCTTTACCATTGTGAAGAAGTCATTATTTGTTGACTGTTCATAGCTTGACTTCAAAAGCGGATACTATTCCTTCTGCCACTCACCAGATCACCATTGTTGGAGAGACCTCTCTGATCAGGCCTGTGTTGATTCTGGGGGAACATAAGTCACTAGCAGGAAGTAAAAATAACTCGTTGAAGGGGATTCAATACCCTAAGGGAGAGAGAGTGAGTCAACTACCAAAATAGTTGCATTATTTCCTCTTACTGTGTTGGAAAACCCCAGAGATGAGTTGGAAAAGAAAAGAAAAAAGACAAAACTTTCAAGGACATTCAGTCTGATGATCCCAAAACCAACTAACCCAACAGACAATTAAAGCAAAACCAGAAAACAGAAATCCTCCTGTAACTGAAAAAATTTGATTTTTAAGTGAAAAAATCAAACAAATTAATATTATGTTTATGGCATTTCTTGAGTCAAATATAGAATTTCAAGAAAAAGCTCACAGTACAGAGCAGAATCACCCAGAAATGGTAAATAAATTCAGAAGGCAGATCCAGAAGTTGTAACATGAAAATAAAATGAGTCTGGGTGGTAGAAAAAGAAACAAAAGAAGTAATATGCTCCCTGAGTCCCAGGGAGGGTTAAGGAAGAATGCATGTGGAGATAGATGTTGGTGAAATTCCTGAAGTCAAAGGATGAGGACAAATCATAAAGTTTTGCAATTCAAGAACAGGTAATTTGCAATGGAAAGAGAATTTGTATCAAACTTTTTATCAGCAACACTAGAAGTTAAAATGCTGGAACAACACTTGTAGAATCTTGAGGGAGAAAGACTGTGTTTCAAAAATTAATAATCCAGGGAAGATATAATTCATTTGTCAGGGCAAAATAAACATTTTCAAAAAGTGCAGGCATTTACATAGTATTCTGCCCTTGTACTTATCTAAGGAAAACACTTGAGGAAATACTCCATCAAATGACAATTGATTCAGAACAAAAATCCCAAGATAGGGAAAGACAAAAAGGAGAGGAATAATGGGAGCAATGAATCTTGGAATATGCGTATTATTAAAATTAGATAGATAATAACAATGACGTGACTAGGCATTTCTAATATAAATGCTAAATAGAAATTCTTGAAAGAGAGAAGTCATCCTTGAAAGAAAAACTTATTACTAACCTAAAAGTAAAGATTCTGTTTTGTTTCAGGTGGGAGAGAGATTGTAGATGTATGGTGTTAGGTTTTAAAATATGTAAAGTGAGTTCAAAAAGTTCATGGAAAACCAAAGAAATAAAAAATGTATGTTGTATAAATAAAATATATAATTATATATAATAATTATATAATATCATATATATAAATGACTCGGGAATATGTAACCATGAACAGGTCTTTAAAGGATAGTAGAATTTTGAAATTGATGGGAAGAAAAAATGACAAGGAGGAATGAGAGAGGAAACAAGAAAACAGGAAAAAATGAGGAAAAATGGCTGATTCAGCAAAAGTAAGCAGAAGGAAAAAAAGATCTTATTTAAGATGGAAAGAACACAGTTAAGTATATTAATCACTTCACTGTGTGTGAGTGAACTCAGAAAACAGATGCCCTATGTGACTAAAAAGTCACCTCAAAAGGTTCAAAAGTATATTATGTCAAGGAACACTCCTAAAACAAAGTAACAACAGTTGAACAATAAATGGATAGACAATGACGCTTGGGAAATGCAAATAAAAATAAAGGAAGAATGTCAATTTTCATATTAAGAAAAAGTACAATTCAGGGCCCAAAACATGAATCGGGGTAGAGAAGCATTGTGTGGTGTTCTTCAGATCCATTCCCTCAGCTCACCTCCTCTGCTTCAGGGTGCTGTCTGCTCAGCTGCTGGCCTTAGGACAGTCTCGTTGTCAAGCATTAAAGATCAGGTCTGAATGGAAATAAAACTTAAATTTCTTACAACAGCAAATTTAAAGGAACAAAACAATAAGATTGTGTGAAAAATACTGCACTGGCATTTGGCAGCACTTAGCAGCCTTTCCTAGTAAGAGCTCTGGTAAGTCAGGAATGGAACTAAGCTACCGAATAGTGATAAGCATCACAATTTTGCAGCAGATATTTTATTAAATGCCAGGTTTCTGAAGCCATTTCATTAAAAAATTAGGCACAGGAAAGAGATGCTGACTCTTAGCAATG